TACCTCAGTCAGTCTATGACAAGCAGGCATGACCCTGCTACTTCTGAAAACCAGGGCAACATCTGAGGCTCTTGGGCATTTCTTTCTATCTTAAGTATCCAACTCAATCCTTAAATCAAGGACACTTCAAGGACATTTCATTTTGCAATTTGTTTACATTAAGCATCGCAAGTTGCTGATTCAAACAGCCGAGTTGCAGCAGAAACACTACCAGGAACCCTCTCAAGTTCATTTTCCCCATAGGTTTTCAGTTTAGGCTATCTTAACAAGATGTGTACTCTCATCAAAAACGCAGTTCACACACATGCAGGCCAGACAGCTGTAATCAGTCTCAGTGTCTTCCAAACTGCTAAATGCAAAGCGGTGCACCCAAGCAGATTTGCGCCTCTGCTGTGGAGCTGCCAAGGCCAAACCCCTAGCCAAGTATCACTTGAAATAAAGTATAGATAGGGTGTAAGTGGTACATCAGCTCTGATCTGGGGCTCTGCAGTTACTCTAAGTGCAGTTAATGCAGTTACTGTTACCAGAAGGTTACAGATCTACCCACAAGTTAATGGCTGTGTTCAGATCTTATCTAGTTATCTGAAAATAAGACTGAGCTTTTTTCATAACATATTACCAGCTATTTTCTGTTACTTCTGGGATTTTGTAAAATACTGTCACAGGGGTTTTTATTTTATTGGGTTTTTTAATTCCTTAATTTCAATGATTCCTAGAACGAAATGAGAATTTGGTCCAATTTGAACTTGAGTACCCTTTTGCACTAAAATGGTTTTTTTTAGCACTTGTAGAACTTCCCTCACTTTCTAAAGTTTATCTGTAAATTCAGCTTACACGGGGAATTACAAACCCAATCAAATCCATTCAGTGTTTTCCTCACCCTGGGGAACAGACTCATTTCCCCCACAAAAATTGAGTGTCTTCAAAATTTGGCATTAGGAGCAGCACTGGAAAACCAGCAAATTCAGACCAGTCCTGGTAGGGGTTTCTCACATCCCAGCATGTCCCAGTGCCCCTGCAGAGACATTTTCTTTTCCAGCAAGGGTGCTCCAGCACAGACACTCCTGCTGCCAGTTGCTGTGACAGAGAGGGAGAGTCAGATGCTCATTAAAGCCAGTTGTGGGCCATTCAATTTTTTATGGGAAGCAACCAACACCCAAAACTGCACCTAGAGCCATAGCACTATGTCCTGGAGGGACATGGGCATCATATACTTCCAAGGAGAATTTGTCTCTTGAACAAATGCACTGTGCTTCTGCAGTGGCTGCCATCTCCGAGAGACCTCAGGAAGGACCAGCGCAGCAGTCTTGCTCTGCCAGACTGTGAAATGTGGATAAGGCCCCGTCAAAGAGCAGCATTGCAAAACTGTGACATGACACAACCCTTTCCACCAGAAAGCTTCCCAGTGTGTTATTCACTTCTGCATTGCTTTTCTTTGCACTACTTCAGGTTAAGTCACTGTTTTCCCAGCACTCTCCATGGGATAACATTGCACAGCTCCAAGGAGGCTTAAGGTGTTCTTGAGAAGCACCTAGGCTTAGCCACTGGTGGACGAGGATTCACAGATTAGATGGCCTGTTGGTCTAATCCAGTACATCCTTGTCTGTGTCTGGGGATGAAGTTCCATTTTCTTCCTAAAAATCATTGTTTTGAAATGGAAAAGCAAGGCAGAGCATTCATAACTGCTGAGGCAACACAGATTACTCACCCTGACAAAAGACAGGGTGTCCCCAGCGGTGCTGCAACACTTACTTCCCTGGCCCAGCAGCTGCAGCCTCTTCTGCAGCACAGAATCACAAGCGGTGAGAGGCACTGTGGTTACAAACACACAGGACGGCCCATTCCTGACATCCTGGCTGGCATCAAGGGGAGGATGATGAGAGAGCAGCCTGTGGAAGGGATGTGCTGCTGCCAGCAGGCATCCCACACCCTGCTACTAGGCCCCACCTGGCACTGGCACAGGGAGCAGTGCTCCTGACAGACACAACCAGACACAGCAGATCTCCTGTGAGTGTCAGAATGCGTTTCCCTCAAGAAAAAACTGGGGCCATGACACTCCCACCCTACCATTTTAAAAGCGGGAGTGATGAAGAGGAGGTGTCTGCGCTGAGGGCTCCCAGTTAGCTCTGGTTATGGTTTTGATGCCAGACACAAGGTACAATTCCTATTACAGCTCTCATTTCTATGCACTGTTGTTTAATCTAAGTGCGTCAATGCAACCTCACATCACAGGCATGTGAGTTGAAAACCTCCAGTTGGTTCTGAGTCATAGCCAGCACCTCAGTGGTAAATTTGGATCCCAGCACCACTGGATCCTGACACAGCACAGAAGCCAGGACAAACTCCAGCACTGAAGCATTGCATGCAATCATTGGAGCCACATCCACCCATTGCAACGCCTTGTGACATGGAAATTTTGCAGAAAACATCCTGCCGAGGACCTTGGAGGAGAGGACAGGGCTACTCATGGTGTGTATGAATGGCATGGGCAGGAAAGGACATAGAGTAAGGGAAGGAGGGAGGGAGGTGCTGGCAGGACCCACCTGAGCAGATCCCACACAGTCACTGGTCCTGCCTTAGGATGGCTCCACTACAGGAGTGCACACAGTCTCCTGTGTGCAGGGCTGAAAAAACCCAAAGGGCTCCTTTCAAGGCAAAGGCCTTGCATTCAGAAAGGACTTGTATTTCTCTCTCCCAGCATGCATCTGGTGTCAAGAAAAAAATTTCTTTAAACTTTTTAGGGTTTTTTTCACTTGAGAATACCTCAAGGGAAATTCCGAATACCTCCCTCTATGTGTTCATTGGTACTTATATCTGAGCTGCAGTAGCAGAGCTGTGTGAATATTTATTAATATTCCAGGCAGATCTCAAATAAAAAAAAATTGAGTTTCCTCATCAAATGGAACCTACCTCCTTCCCCCCACCCCCTCCAAAAGAGTAATTCTCTATTTCTCTATTCAGGGGAGCACACGAGGCTTAATCTGTTCATTTCTTTCTCTTATTGTCATTTAGAAATTTTTATAATTCAACCAAACCCTATTTTGAAAAATCATTCGAAAATGAAAACCAGTATGTAAATGCTGCTGCACCTAAGCATGGCAATGGTTTTCAGCATCTTCTGATAAAGCTACTTGCAAACATGTTTTTCTAGCTTGAAGTAGCACAGAATCAATTATCTGCACAAAATAATGTGCCCGGTGCCACTTGAGATTGTTTTCTTAGCACAAAATTATTCAGGTAACACTCATCAAAAACGTTGCCTTGATATCAAGTCCGTGGATGCAGAAGGGCTTTGTTTGATCAATGATTCACAGCATGAAAAAAAATCAGCACTGACTTTCCTCCTCTGTTGTCAATGCAGCTCCTTCGAATGGCCTGGGAGGCAGCCAGGGTGAAGGAAAACTCTGTTTCCATGACTCATCCATTCCTGGGCTGCTGCGGAGATAGCCAGCAAGTGGTCAATCAGTGATAATTGTCATGGGGAGTTGGTGATGTGAATGCTCAGACCATCAGCATATTTCACAAGAGCCATTCAAAGGCGCTTCTTCTTCAAGAAAGCAGGACCAGAAATTGTTTCTAAACCTGAAAAACACCCGTATTTCTTACCAAACCCCTGTATCAACAACCTTCCACAGTGCCATTTATTTTAAAGTTATTTCTTTACAGTATTTTTAGCAATGATGAGAATAAATCAACCAAAGCACCAACTGAATAATATATCAGGGCCAGGTACATGTCAGGAATGTATATATCAGGCAGAAAAAAACCAAGTGTGCTTCAGAGTAGGAATATTTTAGAGAGTATTGCAGGAGAAGATATTTTAAAATTATTCCATCTTCTTATCAAGTCTTTCTGTAGGCCTTCCCCCTCTGGCACATTGCGTTCTCAGGGCTCCTTAAAGTTCATGGAGACAAAGAAATATGTTTAACAAATTAGACAAAAAAATATGTCTCAAAAACCACTCTAAGTTTCAAACACTTGTTCTGGAAGGCTTCCAACAGTTACACAACACAGCTGGATTTATCTAATGCTCTGCCTTAAAGGGTGGGCAAGTCTTATTTCCATCAGACCTCTTTCCAGCCTGTCCCTTAAGCCAAGCCTTCACTGACAAAGTAAAAAAAAAATAAATTCCCTTTATTTTTCTTTTTTTTTGGGCAGTTTTCAATCCTTTACACGTTGCTGAAAGACCTCACACTCATAACCTGACTGGTTAGTCATATCGTGCCCATCGCCGCTGGAGGTAGTCAGCTGTGATGGGAGGGTAAGAAACCAGCAGTTTATGAGAGCAGCAAGTACGAATGAGGATACAATTACTGTCCTGGAAAACAAGGCCTCTTCTGCAAAACAGCTCCCCAAATCCATGCAACAGATGCAGACATCTCAAAATACCCCAGCACCCAGTGGGGAGTGTGGAAGTCTGGGACCTCCCCCACCCGGTGTCACAGCAGGCAGTATGGCCCACCATGCCATGCATGGCCCGGGGGGTGGTTGCTCCCTGAATGGGGGCTGTAAATGGACACTTAGCGTCCATGTGCTGGATGGCCCTACTTTTATTGCTATGCATGCATTCAGCATTTAAATCCGGCTATATTCCCACTGAAAGCTTGCATTGCAATTAAAAACAAACTAACCAAAAATCAAGCACTAAAAGCAGGATTTTTTTAAGATCAATTTTGTAGTACAGTGAATTTTAAGCAGGAGTAGGCTCACTTGTTCTAGATTCTGTACAAATACAAAGGCAGTTCTCGAATTAATATGGTCCCATATGATCTACTTTTGTCCAAGGCATAAAGAAGCAGCTCCAAAAGGCTGGAAATCTTTTTCCATGGTGCTGTCCAGGTCTGAAGTAAGTGGGGCATGGTAAATCTATGCTGACGTAAATGAGAGAAGGTGTTTTGAAGAATGCAGGACAGGGAGAACAAATTAAAACCAGAGAAGTCTGGTGAATATTACACAAGAAAACCTTTCTCTATTTCCGTTTCTTATTTTTGTCACTGCAGAAATTCTTCTCATCTTAAATTAGAGAAAGGAGGCCAGGAGGCCAGGGCCGGTATTCTTTGTCTCGGTGACCCAGCAGTAACCAAACAAGGAGACTGGCAATGTGAGTATGAACCAGCGATCCTGAAGCTTAGGATCTGGAGATTGAGAGCTCCAGGTGGATAAACAGTGGGCCTCTGTTTCTGATATGGGATGAACCCAAACCTCACAGCTCCCCACGACAATTATCTGGGGTCAGCTGAGAGGGGGACTCAGTACCAAATTATCAGTGGCACCGTTTCTCTCCTCCAGGCAGTGACACTGTGTTGATTTGGCCTTTTCTTTCCACTCTCACAAAGCTACAGAAAGCTGTGGAGCAGACTTCTTGGACTTGCTGAGGACAAAAACCTCCTTTGCTTGCTGCATCCTTTTTCTAAATAGCATGGGTGCCTGTCAGAAACATTCTGAAACATTGTTTGGATTTGATTTTTATATGCCTTTTCCTCTAGCAAAGTGCCTGCAAGTTCAGTACAAACAGATGAACGGAGTCAAGCACAGCTCGTAGCCTAGCTACATACTTCAGTCTTTGCTCTGAACTACTGAGGTTTTGGATGATGTCACTCTGGTCTCCTGAGGGCTGCTGTTGTCATCAGATAGTGAGGTCGATAAGGCACATGTTATGATGAGGCATGCTGTTTGGTTCAATCACAGTATCGTGCATGAAGTAGGAAAGAAAGCAGTGTATTTCCTGGTACAGTACCTCGATAAGGCTCTCGCTGCTTCATAGGTATTTCCACCACACTGTCCTCTCTGCTCAGCACACTGACAATCAGATTGCTGACAATCTGAAAGTAGAAACAGTGGTAGGGTGCAAAACCCAGCTCCTCCACCAAAAACATGTTTGTTTGTTTCTTTTCCTGATCTCAATTTCACTCTCTCTCTTTTTTCTTTCTTTTTTTTTTTTAATTTTTATTTAATCATTTACAAAGCAAGTAAAGCAGGACACAGAACAGCTGTTAAGAGCTGGATAAGGTACAGTCAGTTTCTGGAGGAGCTTTTTTCACAGTCCCTCATTCCCCAGTGCATTTGGAAAGCACCTCAAATCTAGCACAACCTGTGAGTTAGGGGCCCTTGGCTGGATTTGGAGGCTCCAGCCCTCAACAGCATTTGTTTCCATACTGCTCAGATGCTTGATCTTGAATTGTGGTTTCTTCCTCTCTTCCTGGCTTACTTCATATTGAACATTATGATTTGTTTTACTAGCAGACCAACAGACTGATAGCAGTTCAAGGCCCAGTTCCATATGTCAGATGCCACTGAAAAGGAGTTGGTACACTACCTTTACCTGGAGCTGGACTGGATTTTACTTTTTTAGTATTCATGTTTCTTGTCCACTTTTTGTATTTTACTTAGATGGAGCAGAGGAACAGGCTGGATCCCTGATCACCCCTCATTGCCACCTGTGGGGAAGAGTCATGGCAGCCCTAGTCCTACCAGTGGGAGCACATAGAATAGATGTGCAAAAGTTGAAGTAATCCACACATCTGCTAGCTCTGGCCTTTTCACAGTTAATCTCTATGTACTAGAAAAGGAGGAATAATGTATTTTTTTAAAATCCTAATTGTACAAATTATCATCTTGGACCCCACTGTCTACCAGTTTTTAATGAAGAAAGAGTCCATATCACTACCTAAACTCGCTGACAGAAATAAAGTGCAGGTACCATTGCTGGAACAGTGTCTACCTGATTTTGCTGGTTGTCCAGCTCATCTATCCTTATGGGTATTTAGATCCATAGTTTCTATATTAGCAACTAAAATAAGATTTTATTGCATTTTTTTCCCTGTAGATACACTAGGCATCTAGTCTATCCTCTTTCCTTACTGCAACTGGAAACCAGATTCTTGGTGCTGAAATCCTAACACAGGTCAAGACCAATTCCTAAAATCACCCATCCTGCCTTTCAGCTTCCAGATGAGAGAGGTGTTATGGGACAATATTTTACTTGCAGTACACCCAGAGGTAATTTGACATCCCTGAGTGAGGATCATCACTGCTTTGTCAAGGGGCCTCCTTTCCAGTGCAGAACTTGATTCTAAAATGCTGGTGATGTGGTGGCCACTGGTGAGGGATGCTGGATGATTTAGTTGATTTAAATAACTTGACAGAGTTATTCAGAATGGTGAAGCAGCACACGGTGAAAGGCTTGCTGTGCTTTTCTATACTGACTAACACTAGGAAATAGTCTGTTAGGCCTGTGAGGCCATCCATCTATGAGAAGGTCACTCTAAACAAACCTACGTCCTGAGGACCTCACTGCCATTGTCCAAGCTTGCTTGGCCCCGGCAGATGAACCTTAGGATTAAAGGGTGGGCTCAGTTCAGCGCAGGCTGTGTCTCACCTAAAAAATCCATTGCGCAGGCTGGAAAGGTAAAAGACCTTTCCCCAAATCTTCGTTCGCGAAGATGGGCCATTATAACACTAGGAAACCAGACAAGTCAGCTGCTGATAGAAAAGGAAGATGACCATTTGGGATAAACAAGAAGAGGCTGTTTCTTTTCCCAATGTATGTTTGCCCCTTGGAAATAAGCTGATCAGAGAGGCCACAGGGAGACCACAAGGCCAAATTCTACAGCTGAATTTTTTTAAAGCAGATAATTTTATGACCACTGTTAAGAGATGTAATTTATGTAAACCAAGACAATGGTAAATGGACACAAATCAATTCGTGTTTCAAAGCTTATGTTCCCTAGGGATGGGGAATAGCGTTACTCCTTCAGGAAGGAAAACTGAAGGGCAAGAGCATGGCTTCCTCTGAGCACACTGGTGGGGGCCCTGGGCTACCCCAGCCTGACAGTGGAGTGACTGCCCAGGGATCCTGGGTGTCATGAAGCACAGTGCTAATATCAGAGGTATAAGGGGGGAAGGCACAGTGGGGATAAGTTCTGAAGAACCAGGAACCCGCCATCATCAGGCTGTGTGAGGGGAGCCAGGACACCCCACAGTAATGGAGCAGGGCCCCTCTTGGCAGCACAGTGTCATGACAAGAGGCTGATTCTCATTGTATTTCTAGCAGAACCAATATAATTTGACATAGTGCTTTTCTCCTGACTTCATCCCAGATTAGGCCAGGAAGGTTAAATTTACTATCTCAAGAACCAAAGGCAGGACAGCACCACTAAGTGCAGAACCAGGCTGAAAACGAAAGTCCAGGGTAGGTTTAGGACATGCTATTTTCTTAGCAGGCATGGGAAGAGAAGCATGGAAAGGTATGGAAAATCATATTGTCTGAGAACAGGCTGGGGAAGAGATTAGCTGGCAGGAAAGCTGAAAGGTGAAACCACATGTGCTGTTTTGCAGGGACTTCACCCGGAAGTTTGGTTCCAGTCTCATTAACCAAAGGCGATGGGACACAAAATTAGTGGCCACAAACCTCTGTAGGAGACATTCAGGTTCAGTATTAGGTTACATATAGAGAGGTTAAAATTTCCTGAGCATTGAAACTGCCTGACAAGGGAATGCTGTGGACACCTCAGTGTTAGAGACATTCAAGGCTATCATTAGACAACTCTCTATGCCTGAGAGGTGGTTTGAGGATAACGAGATTGGTCCTGTCAGGGTTAAAAGAGAAGGTCTGAGTGACTCACTAGAAGTCCCTGTCAACCTGGATGATACACTGATAACCCTACGGACCGCCTGTCTCCAGCCTCCATCACAGGACTGCTGGACTCCACAGCTGCTGCCCTCAAGTTCCTCCAAACTGCTCGCTTTTGAAACAAACTATTAAATGGTTTGAAAAAAATCTCCAGTTCTGTTTTCATCCACACTGAAAGTGTTTATCTGCTCAGAGAAATGCTGGAAGAAGAAAAATACCTTGGTCAGCAGATTCAGTCTATGAATCCAAAGCCCACATTACCCAAACTTAAGAGGAAAATTATTTTCTGCAGCTCCCCTAGCTATTTTGGGTGGGCACCCTCAAAAGGGGGTGAATTTGGTTTGTTCTTGGCTTTTTAATCTCATGATAAATTTTAAAGTGTAATAATGGGGAAAATAGTGTTATTTGTAAACATAGCACAGAAGATCTGAGTTTGAGACAAAATAAACAGGGACCCTCTTTGCACATTTTCAGCGCCATCCTTTTTCTAAGCAGGAGTGTGCCTTTTACACTCTGCTGTGGGCCTTGAACAAAAGGTTTCCTCATATCTTGTGACTGTAACTTCTTAGTAAACCAGGACTTTCCTAGTGCCCAAAAGCCCTACCAGCATCTCCAAAGCTGTGAAACACAGTATATTCTCTCCATGTAGCATAATTATGGTAAATAACAAAAGCTCCCACCTAAGACTGCTCGAGAATCTCTTTATAGCAAACACAGTAAGAGCTTCAAGAGCTTCATTGGCATGTGTTCCATATTGCTTAATGTCTCCTTAGGGGCTGTGGCTATCATCCCAAGCAACATTTCTATGGCTTGCGTGGCTACATCCTTTTCCTGTGAATCAACGTTGGCATCTGCTCATCCAGAGTAATCAGCAGAAATATTTGCTGTTGCCTGGAGACTAAGACAGGAGAAAAAGTATCAGGAGTCCTGAATGATTTTTGCAGCTCTTTCTCTGATACTGTGCCACTGCCAGACAGTCCTCTTCACCTGGCAGTTGTATATCTAACAGGGTTTTAAAACCTGTGGAATAGGTACAGTTATATTTGCCAAGTGCCCAAAATACCTGTAAAGTTCTCCCAGGCCCATGTGCAAAAGGCATCATGTAGAAATACAAAATACATCTACATAGGCTAAGCAGACTCCATTCATCAGCATCATCATTCATTGCACATTCTGTCCTCTCTGGGAGGGAGATAAACCCCCAGAGACAGCAGGGCTCCATTGAAAAACACCCAGCCGGCTCATTTGCCAAGCAGTGGTCTGGTAGCACCAGAGGTACGGCAAACATACCATACCTACGGTCTTGCCTCCACCCAGCTGGTGTGGTGGGACTTTAAATACACAGAGAATGCTGAATCCTGAAATGTTTCCACCGACCAGTTGTTAAAACTTTTCACATCCCACCAACAACTGCTCAAATATGTGGGGGATGAGAAAACTTCCTTCCACCCAGAGGTGGAAGAAAACTCTGGAGCTGGCAGTCACGTGCTCCACAACAGCCTTACAACCCGCAGGATCCTGCATGGAAAAATTTCACTTCCATGTGTTGACTAAGTTAATGTGGTGGGGATAGTGGGTGGACATAAAATGAAACTATGAAAAGAGATTAATTTGCAGCTGGAGCTCAGGCAGGGAGAACTCCAGTCTTTTGTTTGCTCAGAAAACGGCAGCTTTGACCAAAACCCAGTCAAAAAAAAGAGGCTAAGGCAGTGGTAATTAAAAAAAAAAAAAATCAAAACTGGGAGGGAAAAAGCAGCAAAAGTGAAACAAAGCCTCTCTGGAAATTAAGATGCGGAATTCAAAATATTTGCAGTATAATAAACCCAGGCGAGCCCATAAAGCAGCACTAGCCAAAAGGAGCTCTGTTCTGCCTATGAGGAAACCCGAACCGGCGTCACGCCTGGCAGCAGCCGCCCCACAGCCCCGCTTCCTCCCCACCTCATTGCAGAGTTGTCTTGCTCGCTGCCCTCGGCTATGTTTAACGCAGCGCAGCGTCTGTTTCCACTCTAACCCCTTCAGTTTGGAGGAGGAGGATATAAATCATCTGCGGAGCTGCCCACAGGGCTTAGTCACAGCAGGTATTGGTTTAGGGTGTCTTAGAGGAACTATTTCTTTTTTTCGCTGAAAGTATTCTAGGGAATAAGCATTGGCTTTGTGAGGAGTAGGCTTTGCTAAAGGGGCCAAGGAGTCTCCAAACAAAGGACATTTTACATCACCAGGCAGAATCATCTTCTAATATTTTGGACTGAGCTCAGCCTTGAGGGCAAGGGCTGTTCCTCAAGTTCCCAGCAGATGCTTGAACCGTCCCCACTGAGCCAGTCTCACCATCTGGTGTTCCTGGTGTTCCCAGCCCAAGAGACCCTATACGACTAATATCACCTCTTCCTTCCAGCTGAACTCCTTCCTAACACTTTTTGCTGCTTTCTTCCTGTTTATGGCTGGTTCACACACCTGAAACTGCTTCTGATACAGGCTCCTCCTGACCCCTCTTACTTGGGGCCCAGGTAAGGAAGGCACCATTCTTCACTCTTAATTTTTTTGTCTATTTTCACTTCACCCACCACAATTTTGCCTGTCACCAAAGCATCTGGTCACTCAGCACACCACCTCCCAGCAGCAGAACTGCCTCACCAGCCCCACTGTGGGGTACAAGACCCCACATCTTGATGCCTGCCTGTTGTAATGCAAGGCATAAGGAGCCTCCCTGAAACACAAGCCCTTCTCTCCCTCCCAGGCAGGTACTGGGGCTGTGCTTTTGTGTCACCCCTGGACGTGTCTTCAGCCTCCAGCCCCCGCAACACCTCCAGCACTGGAGCCAGAAGCCTCTTTGTTCACACACTGACCACGGCACCTTCTCCCAAAGCCTCTTTCTGCAGACTCAAGCACATGCTAGCTTTCCCCAACACAGACCACACAAATTGCAGCAATTAGCAAGTGTAAAGGGCATGCTGTGGTTTTTGCATGTATTAGTGCATCTTAAGAGTCATGCATATCCTTGGGCATAGTCATCAGATAGTATCCAGCAGGCTGCATTATCCAGACCTTCCCCTCAATTTGATGTCCCTGAGCCCCACTGGAGAGACTCAGTTCATTAGCCTTTATGCATTTGAACAACATTAGTCTTTGGACTCAAGACAGCATGGCTTCTTTCTCACCTGTGCTATCCCCATGCTGTGTGGACTTGATCTATAGCTCTTCCCTTGCTGCCAGTCTCTAATGGTGACCCCATCATTTCCTGCCCCTCTGCCACCTCCCCTCTGCTGTGCAAGGCATGGCAAAGCCCATTCTTCCTTATGTGATTTGCAGCAGCAGCTCAAAGTCCTGTTCACAGACCATTGCCCTCACTGCATAGGAACCATACAGAATGAAAATTTGTGCCAGCTTGTATCAGTCCTCCAGGCATATTTCTTCAATTTCTTTCCCCTTCTTCCTCCCAATTTCATGACTATGCTGATGATACAAACTTGGTCAGGACCAGGAACTTTGAGCATTTCAGGGCTCTTTTTAAATGTTTTTTTTTTTTGTTACTTGCACTCTGGCACACCATATCCATGTACAAGTGATACTAAACAAAGGT